GGGTGTAGGTGGGCTAATGTGTGGGTGTAGGTGGGCTAATGTGTGGGTGTAGGTGGGCTAATGTGTGGGTGTATGTGGGCTAATGTGTGGGTGTAGGTGGGCTAATGTGTGGGTGTAGGTGGGCTAATGTGTGGGTGTAGGTGGGCTAATGTGTGGGTGTATGTGGGCTAATGTGTGGGTGGGCTAATGTGTGGGTGTAGATGGGCTAATGTGTGGGTGTAGATAGGCTAATGTGTGGGTGTAGATGGGCTAATGTGTGGGTGGGCTAATGTGTGGGTGGGCTAATGTGTGGGTGGGCTAATGTGTGGGTGGGCTAATGTGTGGGTGGGCTAATGTGTGGGTGTAGGTGGGCTAATGTGTGGGTGTATGTGGGCTAATGTGTGGGTGGGCTAATGTGTGGGTGTAGATAGGCTAATGTGTGGGTGTAGGTGGGCTAATGTGTGGGTGGGCTAATGTGTGGGTGGGCTAATGTGTGGGTGTAGGTGGGCTAATGTGTGGGTGTAGGTGGGCTAATGTGTGGGTGTAGGTGGGCTAATGTGTGGGTGTAGGTGGGCTAATGTGTGGGTGTAGATGGGCTAATGTGTGGGTGTAGATGGGCTAATGTGTAGCTGTAGGTGTGCTATTGTGTGGGTGTAGATGGGCTAATGTGTGGCTGTAGGTGGGCTAATGTGTGGGTGTAGATGGGCTAATGTGTGGGTGTAGGTGGGCTAATGTGTGGGTGAGCTAATGTGTGGGTGTAGATGGGCTAATGTGTGGGTGTAGATGGGCTAATGTGTGGGTGTAGATGGGCTAATGTGTGGGTGGGCTAATGTGTGGGTGTAGGTGGGATAATGTGTGGCTGTAGGTGGGCTAATGTGTGGGTGAGCTAATGTGTGGGTGTAGGTGGGCTAATGTGTGGGTGTAGATGGGCTAATGTGTGGGTGTAGATGGGCTAATGTGTGGGTGAGCTAATGTGTGGGTGTAGATAGGCTAATGTGTGGGTGTATGTGGGCTAATGTGTGGGTGTAGATGGGCTAATGTGTGAGTGTAGATGGGCTAATGTGTGGGTGGGCTAATGTGTGGGTGTAGATGGGCTAATGTGTGAGTGTAGATGGGCTATGGTGTGGGTGGGCTAATGTGTGGGTGGGCTAATGTGTGGGTGTAGATGGGCTAATGTGTGGGTGTAGATGGGCTAATGTGTGGGTGTAGATGGGCTAATGTGTGAGTGTAGATGGGCTATGGTGTGGGTGGGCTAATGTGTGGGTGGGCTAATGTGTGGGTGTAGGTGGGCTAATGTGTGGGTGTATATGGGCTAATGTGTGGGTGGGCTAATGTGTGGGTGGGCTAATGTGTGGGTGTAGATGGGCTAATGTGTGGGTGGGCTAAAGTGTCAGTGTAGATGGGCTAATGTGTGGGTGTAGATGGGCTAATGTGTGGGCGGGCTAATGTGTGGGTGTAGATGGGCTAATGTGTGGGTGTAGGTGGGCTAATGTGTGGGTGGGCTAATGTGTGGGTGTAGGTGGGCTAATGTGTGGGTGTAGATGGGCTAATGTGTGGGTGGGCTAATGTGTGGGTGTAGATGGGCTAATGTGTGGGTGTAGATGGGCTAATGTGTGGGTGTATATGGGCAAATGTATGGGTGGGCTAATGTGTGGGTGTAGGTGGGCTAATGTGTGGGTGGGCTAATGTGTGGGTGGGCTAATGTGTGGGTGGGCTAATGTGTGGGTGGGCTAATGTGTGGGTGGGCTAATGTGTGGGTGTAGATGGGCTAATGTGTGGGTGGGCTAATGTGTGGGTGGGCTAATGTGTGGGTGGGCTAATGTGTGGGTGGGCTAATGTGTGGGTGGGCTAATGTGTGGGTGGGCTAATGTGTGGGTGTAGATGGGCTAATGTGTGGGTGGGCTAATGTGTGGGTGGGCTAATGTGTGGATGGGCTAATGTGTGGGTGTAGGTGGGCTAATGTGTGGGTGGGCTAATGTGTGGGTGTAGATGGGCTAATGTGTGGGTGTAGATGGGCTAATGTGTGGGTGGGCTAATGTGTGGGTGGGTTAATGTGTGGGTGGGCTAATGTGTGGGTGGGCTAATGTGTGGGTGGGCTAATGTGTGGGTGTAGATGGGCTAATGTGTGGGTGTAGGTGGGCTAATGTGTGGGTGTAGATGGGCTATGTTGTGGGTGGGCTAATGTGTGGGTGTAGATGGGCTAATGTGTGGGTGGGCTAATGTGTGGGTGTAGATGGGCTAATGTGTGGGTGTATATGGGCTAATGTGTGGGTGGGCTAATGTGTGGGTGGGCTAATGTGTGGGTGTAGATGGGTTTATATGGGTGTATGTGGGCTAATGTGTGGGTGGGCTAATGTGTGGGCGGGCTAATGTGTGGGTGTAGATGGGCTAATGTGTGGGTGGGCTAATGTGTGGGTGGGCTAATGTGTGGGTGTAGATGGGCTAATGTGTGGGTGGGCTAATGTGTGGGTGAGCTAATGTGTGGGTGTAGATGGGCTAATGTGTGGGTGGGATAATGTGTGGGTGTAGATGGGCTAATGTGTGGGTGTAGATGGGCTATGGTGTAGGTGGGCTAATGTGTGGGTGTATGTGGGCTAATGTGTGGGTGTAGGTGGGCTAATGTGTGGGTGTAGGTGGGCTAATGTGTGGGTGTAGGTGGGCTAATGTGTGGGTGGGCTAATGTGTGGGTGTAGATGGGCTAATGTGTGGGTGGGCTAATGTGTGGATGAGCTAATGTGTGGGTGGGCTAATGTGTGGGTGTAGGTGGGCTAATGTGTGGGTGGGCTAATGTGTGGGTGGGCTAATGTGTGGGTGTAGGTGGGCTAATGTGTGGGTGGGCTAATGTGTGGGTGTAGGTGGCTAATGTGTGGGTGTAGATGGGCTAATGTGTGGGTGTAGGTGGGCTAATGTGTGGGTGGGCTAATGTGTGGGTGGGCTAATGTGTGGGTGTAGGTGGGCTAATGTGTGGGTGGGCTAATGTGTGGGTGGGCTAATGTGTGGGTGTAGATGGGCTAATGTGTGGGTGGGCTAATGTGTGGGTGGGCTAATGTGTGGGTGTAGATGGGCTAATGTGTGGGTGTAGGTGGGCTAATGTGTGGGTGTAGGTGGGCTAATGTGTGGGTGTAGGTGGGCTAATGTGTGGGTGTAGATGGGCTAATGTGTGGGTGGGCTAATGTGTGGGTGTAGGTGGCTAATGTGTGGGTGTAGATGGGCTAATGTGTGGGTGTAGGTGGGCTAATGTGTGGGTGGGCTAATGTGTGGGTGGGCTAATGTGTGGGTGTAGATGGGCTAATGTGTGGGTGGGCTAATGTGTGGGTGGGCTAATGTGTGGGTGTAGATGGGCTAATGTGTGGGTGTAGATGGGCTAATGTGTGGGTGTAGATGGGCTAATGTGTGGGTGAGCTAATGTGTGGGTGTAGGTGGGCTAATGTGTGGGTGTAGATGGGCTAATGTGTGGGTGGGCTAATGTGTGGGTGTAGATGGGCTAATGTGTGGGTGTAGATGGGCTAATGTGTGGGTGTAGATGGGCTAATGTGTGGGTGAGCTAATGTGTGGGTGTAGGTGGGCTAATGTGTGGGTGTAGATGGGCTAATGTGTGGGTGGGCTAATGTGTGGGTGGGCTAATGTGTGGGTGTAGATGGGCTAATGTGTGGGTGTAGATGGGCTAATGTGTGGGTGTAGGTGGGCTAATGTGTGGGTGTAGATGGGCTAATGTGTGGGTGTAGATGGGCTAATGTGTGGGTGTAGATGGGCTAATGTGTGGGTGTAGATGGGCTAATGTGTGGGTGTAGATGGGCTAATGTGTGGGTGTAGGTGGGCTAATGTGTGGGTGTAGATGGGCTAATGTGTGGGTGTAGATGGGCTAATGTGTGGGTGTAGATGGGCTAATGTGTGGGTGGGCTAATGTGTGGGTGTAGATGGGCTAATGTGTGGGTGTAGATGGGCTAATGTGTGGGTGTAGATGGGCTAATGTGTGGGTGAGCTAATGTGTGGGTGTAGATGGGCTAATGTGTGGGTGGGCTAATGTGTGGGTGTAGGTGGGCTAATGTGTGGGTGTAGGTGGGCTAATGTGTGGGTGTAGATGGGCTAATGTGTGGGTGAGCTAATGTGTGGGTGTAGGTGGGCTAATGTGTGGGTGTAGGTGGGCTAATGTGGAGGTGGGCTAATGTGTAGGTGGGCTAATGTGTGGGTGGGCTAATGTGTGTATGTAGATTTACACTTCCTGTTAGAAAGTACAAGCACCGCAACTGATGATTGTTTTAAAAAATATATTGCTATTTGGTTCTGACCTACGGCTTTTTTTAGATTTCTGTTTAAAAACGTAGAAAGCTCTTTTGAAACAGGATTTTTAAAAAGTTTATTCGAAATTCAAATTTAAGCCCTAATTAACCTACTAATTAACCTACTAATTAACCTACTAATTAACCTACCAATTAACCTACTAATTAACCTACCAATTAACATACTAATTAACCTACTAATTAACCTACTAATTAACCTACTAATTAACCTACTAATTAACCTACTAATTAACCTACTAATTAACCTACTAATTAACCTACTAATTAACCTACTAATTAACCTACTAATTAACCTACTAATTAACCTACTAATTAACCACCTAATTAACCACCTAATTAACCTACTAATTAACCTACTAATTAACCTACTAATTAACCTACTAATTAACCTACTAATTAACCACCTAATTAACCTACTAATTAACCTACTAATTAACCTACTAATTAACCTACTAATTAACCTACTAATTAACCTACTAATTAACCTACTAATTAACCTACTAATTAACCTACTAATTAACCTACTAATTAACCTACTAATTAACCTACTAATTAACCTACTTATTAACCTACTAATTAACCTACTAATTAACCTACTAATTAACCTACTAATTAACCTACTAATTAACCTACTAATTAACCTACTAATTAACCTACTAATTAACCTACTAATTAACCTACTAATTAACCTACTAATTAACCTATTTTTATCTTTAACAGGTCTTATCCCTGGGATGTAGACAGCAAGAAAAAAAATCAGAATCGTCAAAGTTAGATCTGATTTGTGTGAGACTACCTACAACAGCACGTCCGTACCCAGCCTCCCCCAGCAGACGACATGGGCGATCTGAAGGGCCACGCCCTGCCCGGGTCCCTGTTCCTCCTGTACGGCCTCTGGTGGGCCTTCTGCAGCATCCGCAGGTTCTTTCTGTGTCGCAGGGCCGGCAGTAAATACGTCTCCACCGTCACCTTCTCCTGCCCCTGCCCGTGTGGACCCTTGGCCAAACTTCCGGTTGAGGGCATTGTCAAGGTCGGGCTGACCACGTTCGGCATGTTGGCGGAGATCATCTTCAACCTGCCAGTCCCCTCCATGGGCATCAGTAAGTTGTAATGGATCAACTCCCTTCTCTAGTCCAACATTTTGTTGTATTCCTCTGGTCCAATATTTTGTTGTATTTCTCTGGTTCACAGTCCAACATTTTGTTGTATTTCTCTGATTCACAGTCCAACATTTTGTTGTATTTCTCCACAGTCCAACATTTTGTTGTATTTCTCTGGTCCAACATTTTGTTGTATTTCTCTGGTCCAACATTTTGTTGTATTTCTCTGGTCCAACATTTTGTTGTATTTCTCTGGTCCAACATTTTGTTGTATTTCTCTGATTCACAGTCCAACATTTTGTTGTATTTCTCTGATTCACAGTCCAACATTTTGTTGTATTTCTCTGGTCCAACATTTTGTTGTATTTCTCTGATTCACAGTCCAACATTTTGTTGTATTTCTCTGGTCCAATATTTTGTTGTATTTCTCTAGTCCAACATTTTGTTGTATTTCTCCACAGTCCAACATTTTGTTGTATTTCTCCACAGTCCAACATTTTGTTGTATTTCTCCACAGTCCAACATTTTGTTGTATTTCTCCACAGTCCAACATTTTGTTGTATTTCTCTGGTCCAACATTTTGTTGTATTTCTCCACAGTCCAACATTTTGTTGTATTTCTCTGGTCCAACATTTTGTTGTATTTCTCCACAGTCCAACATTTTGTTGTATTTCTCCACAGTTCAACATTTTGTTGTATTTCTCTGGTCCAACATTTTGTTGTATTTCTCTGGTCCAACATTTTGTTGTATTTCTCCACAGTCCAACATTTTGTTGTATTTCTCCACAGTCCAACATTTTGTTGTATTTCTCTGGTCCACAGTCCAACATTTTGTTGTATTTCTCTGGTCCACAGTCCAACATTTTGTTGTATTTCTCCACAGTCCAACATTTTGTTGTATTTCTCCACAGTCCAACATTTTGTTGTATTTCTCTGGTCCAACATTTTGTTGTATTTCTCTGGTCCACAGTCCAACATTTTGTTGTATTTCTCCACAGTCCAACATTTTGTTGTATTTCTCTGGTCCACAGTCCAACATTTTGTTGTATTTCTCCACAGTCCAACATTTTGTTGTATTTCTCCACAGTCCAACATTTTGTTGTATTTCTCCGATTCACAGTCCAACATTTTGTTGTATTTCTCTGGTCCAACATTTTGTTGTATTTCTCCACAGTCCAACATTTTGTTGTATTTCTCCACAGTCCAACATTTTGTTGTATTTCTCTGGTCCACAGTCCAACATTTTGTTGTATTTCTCCACAGTCCAACATTTTGTTGAATTTCTCCACAGTCCAACATTTTGTTGTATTTCTCTGGTCCACAGTCCAACATTTTGTTGTATTTCTCCACAGTCCAACATTTTGTTGTATTTCTCCACAGTCCAACATTTTGTTGTATTTCTCCACAGTCCAACATTTTGTTGTATTTCTCTGGTCCAACATTTTGTTGTATTTCTCTGGTCCAACATTTTGTTGTATTTCTCTGGTCCAACATTTTGTTGTATTTCTCTGGTCCAACATTTTGTTGTATTTCTCTGGTCCAACATTTTGGTTTATTTCTCCACAGTCCAACATTTTGTTGTATTTCTCTGGTCCAACATTTTGTTGTATTTCTCCACAGTCCAACATGCGACGATGTATTTTTTCTTCCTGGTGTCTGGGATTGTGGACATCGTGATGCACTATGGGGCGCCCCTCCCCCCGGGCACGGACTACGTGGCTGTGGCTCTGGCCTTCGCCGTGGAGGGGCTGCTCTTCTACTACCACCTGCACGGGCGGGAGATCGTGGACATCCAGATCCATCTTCTGCTGGTCTACGTCGTCGCTCTCACCGTCGTCGTCATCTTGATAGAGGCCAGGTAGTTCAGGGGCATGGAGGTCAGGGTCAATGTAGTCAAGGTCAGTGGGCCATGGTTCAAGGAGGTCAGGGTTAACGAGGTCAGGGACAAAGTAGTCAAGGTCACTGAGGGCAGGGTCAAGTGGGCCATGGTTCAAGGAGGTTATAGTTCAAATAGATTATATTCAAGCAAAAAAGTCGAAATGATTTTATGAATGAATCATAATGGTGAGTTAAGTCTCGTTGTGATTCTGTGAGACCAGGCATGTGGCGTTACATTTTGAAAAGTTTTAAGACCCCCCCCCCCTCCCGCTTTCACTCCAACCTTGCCCCACCCTACATATCTCTTCTTACGTCACTAACTTGACACTAATAGCTCCACACATTTTCACATTCGTGTTTTAAAGCAAATAACAAAATATTCACTCGACGTGACGCATGGGCTCTTAATGTCATTGTTTACTTTTTAAAACACCCTCCCTCACCCCCTCCTCCCCCATTGTTTACTTTAAAACACTTCCCAGCGCTCTTGATGCACTTGTTTTCATCATTCATCCCCCCACCTCACCCCCACCGCCCCAGATGCTGAGCCTATCTGTCTGACACAGAAGATTTTCACGTGAGATTATAATTCCTTCAAGGCTTGACTGTCGTCCACTATTGGAGAAGTTTCTAGAGCAATTTCTTCACCAAGTTACGGTCGATTGGTTTCATGAATAAATCAATGGAGCGTGGCCAGCGAGCTTGGGGGAGTTTTTTAATCATTTCACGAGAAAGTGTGACCTTGTGGCTACACTGTGACCTTGTGGCTACACTGTGACCTTGTGGCTACACTGTGACCTTGTGGCTACACTGTGACCTTGTGGCTGCTACACTGTGACCTTGTGGCTACACTGTGACCTTGTGGCTACACTGTGACCTTGTGGCTACACTGTGACCTTGTGGCTACATTGTGACCTTGTGGCTGCTGGTCGTGTGGGAACTAGAACAAATTCGCCACTGGATGTCCAACATTGATGTTTCAAGATTTAAAACTTTTCTTTCAGGTTTCAGAGATCTGCCCTGCTGCCCTTGTGTAGGTCCTACCTGCTGATGCTGCAGGGCAGCTGGTTCTGGGCAGTGGGCATCATCCTGTATGGACACGACAAAAACAGCCTGGCATGGGACCTACAGAACCATATGGATGTCATGCGGGCTACCATCTATTTTAGGTAACACGCGGGCTACCATCTATTTTAGGTAACACGCGGGCTACCATCTATTTTAGGTAACACGCGGGCTACCATCTATTTTAGGTAACACGCGGGCTACCATCTATTTTAGGTAACACGGTTAGACGTCATGTACACGTCCATGTGTCCTGATGCTCGTTAAAACAACTAAGTAGCATCAAGTAAACACTTAGTTAGCCCCAAGTTAGCCCCAAGTTAGCCCCAAGTTAGCCCCAATTTAGCCCCAGGTTAGCCCCCAAGTTAGCCCCCAAGTTAGCCCCAAGTTAGCCCCAAGTTAGCCCCAAGTTAGCCCCAAGTTAGCCCCCAAGTTAACCCCAAGTTAGCCCCCAAGTTAGCCCTTAGCTAGCCCCAAGTTAGCCCTTAGCTAGCCCCAAGTTAGCCAAGTTAGCCCCAAGTTAGCCCCTAAGTTAGCCCCCTAGTTAGCCCCCAAGTTTGCCCCAAGTTAGCCCCAAGTTAGCCCCAAGTTAGCCCCCAAGTTAGCCCCAAGTTAGCCCCAAATTAGCCCCAAGTTAGCCCCAAGTTAGCCCCCAAGTTAGCCCCAAGTTAGCCCCCAAGTTAGCCCTTAGCTAGCCCCAAGTTAGCCCCAAGTTAGCCCTTAGTTAGCCCCAAGTTAGCCCCCAAGTTAGCCCCCAAGTTAGCCCCCAAGTTAGCCCCAAGTTAGCCCCAAGTTAGCCCCCACGTTAGCCCCCAAAGTTAGCCCCAAGTTAGCCCCAAGTTAGCCCCCAAGTTAGCCCCCAAGTTAGCCCCAAGTTAGCCCCCACGTTAGCCCCCAAAGTTAGCCCCAAGTTAACCCCAAGTTAGCCCCCAAGTTAGCCCTTAGCTAGCCCCAAGTTATCCCTTAGCTAGCCCCAAGTTAGCCAAGTTAGCCCCAAGTTAGCCCCCAAGTTAGCCCCAAGTTAGCCCCAAGTTAGCCCCAAGTTAGCCCCAAGTTAGCCCCCAAGTTAGCCCCCAAGTTAGCCCCCAAGTTAGCCCCAAGTTAGCCCCCAAGTTAGCCCCAAGTTAGCCCCAAGTTAGCCCCAAGTTAACCCCAAGTTAGCCCCCAAGTTAGCCCCAAGTTAGCCCCCAAGTTAGCCCCAAGTTAGCCCCAAGTTAGCCCCAAGTTAGCCCCCAAGTTAGCCCTTAGCTAGCCCCAAGTTAGCCCTTAGCTAGCCTGTTATCCACCATGTCCGTGATTATTTAGATCTTGCACATGAGCAGGTGTGTTGCGATTTGTTCCATTTGATTATTGATTTTATAAAGTTATCTTTTTATGGCCGCCATGATGATGGAGCAGTTCTATGGCAACATTTTTAAATATTTGAAGCATGCTGTAAAAAAAACGCCCTACCCTCTGTTGACATAAATGGTTGAAGCGATTCTAGGTCATCGTGTCATGGGATACCCTGGCTACATTTTTAGCAACTTTATCTGGCCACTAAACACATGTTGCCACACGGGACAATTTTATACACCCGACGTCAAGTTATATCCTAGATTAACGGGGCATTCATTTAAAAGTGAAATTTTTTCATTAGTTAGCTTACCGTTTTCTATTAATAAATTATATTAATATGCCTCGTAAATACATCAATTAAACGTGTTGAATTGTGTGTATGAAATATCTTCGTCTGTTTTTACCTGCTAACCCTACATTATGTATAACGATTCGCTTACCTGTAGGGTTAGGGTAATAGGGGATATTATTAGACTAAGGTTACGTTAAGATCACTTGGGGGAGGGGGGAGTGGTAAGCAAGGTAAGATTATTTAATTAGCTTAAGGTAATCAAGGAGTAAGCTTTAGGGCCAGCTAAAGGCGTCAAATGACGTCAGTTTGTCCTCAGCTAAAGGCGTCAAATGACGTCAGTTTGTCCTCAGCTAAAGGCGTCAAATGACGTCAGTTTGTCTTGTCCTCAGCGTCAAATGACGTCAGTTTGTCTTGTCCTAAGCGTCAAATGACGTCAGTTTGTCTTGTCTTCCAATCGAGGCGTCAAATGACGTCAGTTTGTCTTGTCCTCAGCGTCAAATGACGTCAGTTTGTCTTGTCCCCAGCTGGCACTGCGCCTTCCACTTCATCGTGCTGCTGGTGCTAGTGGTCGTCATGGGCAGGTGCTACCACCACCAGACCGGACAGAACGGCACTGACCTACATTTAACCGTCCTGGAGAACGGCGACAAGCAGGAAGGGTACCGGATGTTGACGGCAGCAGACGACGGTGACGGAAGTGACATCGAGTACGAGAAGCCGGTGGAGAAAGCCCAGATCAAATAGTGACGTCATCCAGACTAGTCTAGATCGTCAGTCAGTAGAACACAGACTCATTTCTTTCTTTGTTCAACAACACAGTGCTGTACATAGAGTTTCTTGACAGAAGGAGATCCATGGGATTTAAACAATGTCTTAACTCGGACAATACAACATACACATTTGATACACATAAGATACACATTTGACACAATTTAACATACACAATTGATACAACATAAGATACACATTTGGCACAATATAAGATACACATTTGACACAATTTAACATACACAATTGATACAACATAAGATACACATTTGGCACAATATAAGATACACATTTGACACAATTTAACATACATTTTGACAGAAAAAAAAAGAGTTTACATTGCCCAGATTTGTTTGTAATTTGGCGTGAAGGAAACCTCTCTCATCGACGTCATACTGGGCACATTCTGTGGAGGGTTTCTTTCAGACCATTTTTCAGACGTAATGGGTAGGGGGTAGGGGGGGATACTTGAAACTGTCAAGATGCCTGACAGAAACACTTGTTCTGTGACTTAGTTCTGAGTTTTGGACCTTTTGTTGCCTGGGTCTGTCCCCGTCTATTTTCCTGCACTCTCTACTAGCACACTGTCGTCTGCCCTGCCTTCTGTCACGTGGTGCAGACGCCAGTCCTGTGCATAGATCTTTGTTGGATCTTGTTTTAAAATGTTTTGTTATGTTTTTATACAGTTTGTGGTTTTTATTTTATTTTTATACTATTTGTGTTTTTAAAGTGTTTTTTTTACTAATTGTGCAGTTTATGTGATATACTGTTTTTTTGGGGTTTTTTTTTGTCTTTATACTATTTTTGTTTTAAAAATGTTTTTATACTAATTGTTTTATACAGTTTCTGTTTTTAATGTTTTTTTTAAATGTTTTTATACTATGTGTGTTTTTATTTTGTATTATTGTTACACTCTTTTAATGAAGTGCTTGTAAAACTGAGCCCTATTTAGCGGCGAGCCTTATTTATTGTAACGGCGATTTGACAATGTCATGAGGGGTGTTGAAGTCAATTGAATTTTTATTTATCACACCTATAATCATGTACAGATTTATATTCTACGTCATCATTTTTTCTGCTTTTTTTTAGCTAATCCATTTTGTACACTTTTACCAAATTACAATTTCACTTAGGAAATAATTTGTACAAGATCAGTAAAATAAGACGTTTCTGTGAAATTTAAATATTTTCTCCATATCGACACTTGAAATAAACTACCCAGTCTTAAGAATTATATGGATATCAATGATAACAGTTAGAGTTATTTCTATCCATACTAACAGTATCAAGGATATCAATGTTAACAGTTAGAGCTATTTCTATCCATACTAAGTAACTAGGATATCATTTTTTACAGTTAAAGGGTTATTTTCTGAAAAATTCTAATTTCAAATATTCTTTAGACTTTAGAAATCCTTTTAGTTATGTTAATGTTTGTAAATTTACTTTTTTTTCTGCATTGGTAGCTGACATTTTTGAGAGACTTACATTTTAATTTGATGTGGCTGATCCAAAATAGATCATGTTATGATAATGTTCGGGTGCTTGAATCTGGTGTAAGACTGAGATGTGTGTGGGGTTACTTGACTGGGGTTTGTGTCAACTTGACTGGAATTTGTTAGGACTGGGGTTTGTGTGAATTAGAATGGAGTTTGTGTGAATAAGGCTGGAGTTTGTGTGAATTAGGCTGGGGTTTGTGTGAATAAGACTGGAGTTTGTGTGAATTAGGCTGAGTATCTTTGATGTAGTACAAGCAGTTTTGTGATACGAGGCACATTGCCGAGAGACATTCCAACATCAACTTGTGTACAATCCATGAAAAGATTTCTGACGATTTTTGTTTTTATACATTTGATCTACTAGAATACCTTAAACACATCTGATGATTCAGTGTTGAATGCTGTTGTGTTAATGTATGACCATTTTTTACTGGCCTTTTGTAATGTTTAGATCTTATTGTATATTAAATAAATTATTTAAATATAAAATTGTCGAATTATCGGGCTAATGTCTATTTTAAATGTCAGTGTTTAATGTCATATCTATAAGTTAGTGGATATAGATCTATCGTGTTTATTTCAAATAACTGAATTGCGAGCTAAATTGCAATGTCAGTACATCACAAAGTTGCACAAAGTTGCCAGGTCAGTACATCACAAAGTTGCCAGGTCAGTACATCACAAAGTTGCACAAAGTTGCCAGGTCAGTACATCACAAAGTTGCACAAAGTTGCCAGGTCAGTACATCACAAAGTTGCCAGGTCAGTACATCACAAAGTTGCACAAAGTTGCCAGGTCAGTACATCACAAAGTTGCCAGGTCAGTACATCACAAAGTTGCACAAAGTTGCCAGGTCAGTACATCACAAAGTTGCCAGGTCAGTACATCACAAAGTTGCCAGGTCAGTACATCACAAAGTTGCACAAAGTTGCCAGGTCAGTACATCACAAAGTTGCACAAAGTTGCCAGGTCAGTTCATCACAAAGTTGCCAGGTCAGTACATCACAAAATTGCCAACATAAACATAAACTAAAATGTTGACCGACACGATAACGCAGATTGACCTTCAGGTTAGGTTAGGTTGGGTTGGGTTGGGTTAGGTTGGGTTGGGTTGGGTTGGGTTAGGTTAGATTGGGTAAGGTTAGGTTAGGTTAAGTTAATTGGCGTCTACTGGGACAATAACTTTTGAGAACTCGATTGCCTACATGATTGCCTACATGATCGCCTACATGATTGCCTACATGATTGTGTGATTGCCTACCTTTAACCCTCGTAATGTTCTTATCGACGATTTCCTCTGTAGTCCTAAGTGGGTACGGCTAATCGATAGAACCATCCTCTCCCAGCAGGCTCAGGCTGAATAAACGTACAGTATCTTCTCATCTCTAACTCTAATCCTAACCCTAATCCTAGGATTAAGCTGCTAATCTCTATTGTGTTACCTCTATGTAAACGATCTGACCTGTTGTTTTTATAGATATATTTTAAAAAACACAGACGCACTGTCTGCTAACATATCGATACCTAAACACTGGCTGCTAACATATCGATACCTAAACACTAGCTTCTAAAATATCGATACAACGGATGCTAACATCGCTACGTAATAGAAAAAAAGTTATTTGACAAGAAATAAAGCGGGAGTGATTTCCCCTAAACTTTCTCGAATATTCTTATTTAACACTACGGGGGATGGCAACTCGGGATACAGACATGATTTTTAATCAATTTTTAATTACTTAAACTTTTTAAAATAGAATAGAATCTCGTTGAAAAAAAAGAATTGCACATCAATTGAACGACAAACAATGTGTGTATAATAGTGCGGAATACTAGTTCTTTATAAATTCGTATACGTTTTTTGAGAAATCTGAAATAGTGTAAAGTACCACTTCCGCTCAACGGAAATTACTCATAATTTGAGAAAAGGCAGAGAATTTTGTTTATCTATCTGAAACAGTGCTCGAATTATACGCTTTTGAAAAACTAAAAGTAGAAAATGTTCCTCTTCCGGTTACCGGAAATCGCTGAAAAGTTTATACAGAACTACGTAATTTGATATAATATTTATATATGAAATTTCATCAACCTTGCTTTAACGGTACTCAAGTTATCGTGTTCACAGACATACACACATACACACATACATACATACACAGCCATACGGACTAAATTGCAAAACTATGTTTTTCCGAGTCAGGGAGGAGTAAAACGTCGAGATTTGTGAAAATATCGATTTGGATTTTTTGCACGCCTACAATACTTCCTCTATACTTCGTATACGAGAAAGTAAAAAAAAAAAAAGAGAATACGATATTAGTTATTTGACTCGTTAGATCAAAATTCTTTGGTTTCAGCAAAGGAGGAAGGAAAGATTGGTTGTTTTAATTAATTAGCTTTTTTAATTAACTTGTTTTAAAAACATACGTAATTAGGGTTTTACAAGAGTATGGTGTGTGAAGGCTAGCAAAGTTTATCTTTCTTAAGGCATTCGTTTGTTGAAATTAAAGTTTTGTTATCGTGATTTAATCAATGTCATTAACTGACCAAGTTTCTACAGCCATGACATCAATTGCTGCAGCAATGACATCAATTGCTGCAGCCATGACATCAATTGCTGCAGCCATGACATCAATTGCTGCAGCCATGACATCAATTGCTGCAGCCATGACATCAATTGCTGCAGCCATGACATCAATTGCTGCAGCCATGACATCAATTGCTGCAGCCATGACATCAATTGCTGCAGCCATGACATCAATTGCTGCAGCCATGACATCAAATGTTGAAGCCATGACATCAATTGCTGCAGCCATGACATCAAATGTTGAAGCCATATCTGTCACAAAATCTGGCAACACAGAAAGTCCGCGGATTTAAAAAATAATTGATATTAATTTTAAAAATAAAAACGGATGAAATGATATTATTTTTATGAAATATAAATATAAAATAAAAATCACATAATTAGCAGCACACACACTTTTTAAATACTAAAAAAATTTAAAACTATATGTTGATATGGGGAAACTGATAGGAAATTCTAACTAGTATGTGACAGCACATTCTAACTTGTATGTGATAGGACATTCTAACTGTCACCATCTGTGTATTGACGCACTGAGCAGTGACATCATGATGTCATCATTTTTCCACTGTCACCATCTGTGTATTGACAAAATAAAACGTCCCGGGGGGCTAGGGGATAATGACATAATTGGAAGCGCATTAATTATACAGCCACGACAACTATAGTTTCTCCTCTTGGCAACAAGGGAGAGCTCCAAAGAAAACCGTCACCATGGCAACGATTTATCAATACCTGTTGTGTTTCTTGGGAGGTCTAATGTGGTGGTCTGTAATAGTGGTGGTCTGTGATAGTGGTGGTCTGTGATAGTGGTGGTCTGTGATAGTGGTGGTCTGTTACAGTGGTGGTCTGTTACAGTGGTGGTCTGTAATAGTGGTGGTCTGTGATAGTGGTGGTCTGTGATAGTGGTGGTCTGTGATAGTGGTGGTCTGTGATAGTGGTGGTCTGTGATAGTTGTGGTGGTCTGTTACAGTGGTGGTCTGTGATAGTGGTGGTCTGTGATAGTGGTGGTCTGTGATAGTGGTGGTGGTCTGTGATAGTGGTGGTCTGTGATAGTGGTGGTGGTCTGTGATAGTGGTGGTCTGTGATATTGGTGGTCTGTGATAGTGGTGGTCTGTGATAGTGGTGGTCTGTGATAGTGGTGGTCTGTGATAGTGGTGGTCTGTGATAGTGGTGGTCTGTGATAGTGGTGGTCTGTGATAGTGGTGGTCTGTTATAGTGGTGGTGGTCTGTGATAGTGGTGGTCTGTGATAGTGGTGGTGGTCTGTGATAGTGGTGGTCTGTGATAGTGGTGGTCTGTGATAGTGGTGGTGGTCTGTGATAGTGGTGGTCTGTGACAGTGGTGGTCTGTGATAGTGGTGGTCTGTGACAGTGGTGGTCTGTGATAGTGGTGGTCTGTGACAGTGGTGGTGGTCTGTGACAGCGGTGGTCTGTGATAGTGGTGGTCTGTGATAGTGGTGGTCTGTGATAGTGGTGGTCTGTGATAGTGGTGGTGGTCTGTGATAGTGGTGGTCTGTGATAGTGGTGGTCTGTGATAGTGGTCTGTGATAGTGGTGGTCTGTGATAGTGGTGGTGGTCTGTGACAGTAGTGGTCTGTGACAGTGGTGGTGGTCTGTGACAGTGGTGGTCTGTGATAGTGGTGGTCTGTGATAGTGGTGGTCTGTGATAGTGGTGGTGGTCTGTGACAGTAGTGGTCTGTGACAGTGGTGGTCTGTTACAGTGGTGGTCTGTGATAGTGGTGGTGGTCTGTGATAGTGGTGGTCTGTGATAGTGGTGGTCTGTGATAGTGGTGGTGGTCTGTGACAGTGGTGGTCTATTACAGTGGTGGTGGTCTGTACCTCAGCACCAGGCAGGTCACCCTAGTGTGGTGGAACTGGTGTCAGTGACTTACACGTCTTTCTATAAATCTGGCACCGCTAAGATCTCATGGTGCTAGCACCTGTGTGCAGTCACGTGATCGATATCCTTTTATCCCGGGGGTGGGGGTACGTCTACAGCAAGCGTTAGAGGAAATCAATCAATCGATATTGAGGTGAACACCACATTAAACTCAGCTCACATACATTCTTCAGCAGCTCGTGGCTAGCAATACTACTGTATACATACACACACACACACATCTATATATATATATATATATATATATATATATATATATATATATATATATATATACACTCACACACACACTCTCACACACACATATATATATATATATATATATATATATATATATATATATATATATATATATATGACCACTACTGTCACAGACCACCACTATCACGGTAAATATTTTTTTTAAATGTACCAACTTGGGAACAGAACAAAACTAAACACAACGGAAATAAAAGAAAACACAAACACAACACAAAAGAAAACTCAAACACGAAAACAATGCGAACACAAACACAATGCAAACGCAAAACAGCACAAACGAAAATACGAACACGAACGCAACACAAGCACAAACGCATCATGCAAACACAAACATAAAAGAAAAAACAAACACAAACACAAAAGAAAACACCAACACAAACAATGCAAACACAAACACAAACGAAAATATAAATACAAACGCAACACAAACACAAACTTAAATTTATTTTATAGTTGCCACAGTTTTTACACTTTCGAATAACTCGAAGAAAATATTAAATATACGCACCTTGCTAAAACATATTTAGTCGATGAGCACTTTAGCTTTATTACACTATGACGATAGTAATAGATACATTTCTTATGTTTCTTTGGAATCTGCGGTATGCCCGCACATACAAACATACAGAATTGAACTTTGTATATTAGATAATTATTCAATTGCTTGCGATACCCACAAATGAAGGACATGTAGCAGTAGCGTACGACTAGAGAGTTGGGAGTGTGGTATCTGCAAGTAGCTGCAGTCAACAGTTCAAATAGTTCACTGCTACAATTTGGGTCCAGATTTTTCACTGCATTGAAAACGTCTTGTCAATTTGTGGAGATCTAGCCTATACCCCGCTAGTTTGGAATCAGCTGAAGAAAATATTAAGGAATTCCTATCGACTGTACTCTAATTACAGAACACACGGTAATTAATTAATTTTAACACAAATTATTCGGTTTTTCGGTTAGACCGACGGGCCGGTTGTTTTGAAATTTCTGTTGTTTTCTCTGAGGTATTAGATAACTTGTACCTTTTCTAGTGTAGTTGGGATAAATTGTACCTTTTCTAGTGTAGTTGGGATAAATTGTATAGTCATCTGGTGTAGTTGGGGATAAATTGTAGCGTCATCTGGTGTAGTTGGGATAAATTGTACCATCATCTGGTGTAGTTGGGATAAATTGTACCTTTTCTAGTGTAGTTGGGATAAATTGTACCGTCATCTGGTGTAGTTGGGGATAAATTGTAGCGTCATCTGGTGTAGTTGGGGATAAATTGTAGCGTCATCTGGTGTAGTTGGGATAAATTGTACCATCATCTGGTGTAGTTGGGATAAATTGTACCTTTTCTAGTGTAGTTGGGATAAATTGTACCGTCATCTGGTGTAGTTGGGGATAAATTGTAGCGTCATCTGGTGTAGTTGGGATAAATTGTACCGTCATCTGGTGTAGTTGGGGATAAATTGTACCGTCATCTGGTGTAGTTGGGGATAAATTGTACCGTCATCTGGTGTAGTTGGGGATAAATTGTAGCGTCATCTGGTGTAGTTGGGATAAATTGTACCGTCATCTGGTGTAGTTGGGGATAAATTGTACCGTCATCTGGTGTAGTTGGGGATAAATTGTACCGTCATCTGGTGTAGTTGGGGATAAATTGTACCGTCATCTGGTGTAGTTGGGGATAAATTGTAGCGTCATCTGGTGTAGTTGGGATAAATTGTACCGTCATCTGGTGTAGTTGGGGATAAATTGTAGCGTCATCTGGTGTAGTTGGGATAAATTGTACCGTCATCTGGTGTAGTTGGGGATAAATTGTACCGTCATCTGGTGTAGTTGGGGATAAATTGTAGCGTCATCTGGTGTAGTTGGGATAAATTGTACCGTCATCTGGTGTAGTTGGGGATAAATTGTACCGTCATCTGGTGTAGTTGGGGATAAATTGTAGCGTCATCTGGTGTAGTTGGGATAAATTGTACCGTCATCTGGTGTAGTTGGGGATAAATTGTACCGTCATCTGGTGTAGTTGGGGATAAATTGTAGCGTCATCTGGTGTAGTTGGGATAAATTGTACCGTCATCTGGTGTAGTTGGGGATAAATTGTACCGTCATCTGGTGTAGTTGGGGATAAATTGTAGCGTCATCTGGTGTAGTTGGGATAAATTGTACCGTCATCTGGTGTAGTTGGGGATAAATTGTAGCGTCATCTGGTGTAGTTGGGATAAATTGTACCATCATCTGGTGTAGTTGGGATAAATTGTACCTTTTCTAGTGTAGTTGGGATAAATTGTACCGTCATCTGGTGTAGTTGGGGATAAATTGTAGCGTCATCTGGTGTAGTTGGGATAAATTGTACCATCATCTGGTGTAGTTGGGATAAATTGTACCTTTTCTAGTGTAGTTGGGATAAATTGTACCGTCATCTGGTGTAGTTGGGGATAAATTGTAGCGTCATCTGGTGTAGTTGGGATAAATTGTACCGTCATCTGGTGTAGTTGGGGATAAATTGTAGCGTCATCTAATGTACTTGTGATAAATTGTACCGTTTCTAGTGTAGTTGGGATAAATTGTACCGTCATCTGGTGTAGTTGGGGATAAATTGTAGCGTCATCTAATGTACTTGTGATAAATTGTACCGTTTCTAGTGTAGTTGGGATAAATTGTACCGTCATCTGGTGTAGTTGGGATAAATTGTACCGTCGTCTGGTGTAGTTGGGATAAATTGTACCTTTTCTAGTGTAGTTGGGATAAATTGTACCGTCATCTGGTGTAGTTGGGGATAAATTGTAGCGTCATCTGGTGTAGTTGGGATAAATTGTACCATCATCTGGTGTAGTTGGGATAAATTGTACCTTTTCTAGTGTAGTTGGGATAAATTGTACCGTCATCTGGTGTAGTTGGGATAAATTGTACCGTCATCTGGTGTAGTTGGGGATAAATTGTACCGTCATCTGGTGTAGTTGGGGATAAATTGTACCGTCGTCTGGTGTAGTTGGGATAAATTGTACCTTTTCTAGTGTAGTTGGGATAAATTGTACCGTCATCTGGTGTAGTTGGGGATAAATTGTACCGTCATCTGGTGTAGTTGGGGATAAATTGTACCGTTTCTAGTGTAGTTGGGATAAATTGTACCGTCATCTGGTGTAGTTGGGGATAAATTGTACCGTCATCTGGTGTAGTTGGGGATAAATTGTACCGTCATCTGGTGTAGTTGGGATAAATTGTACCGTCATCTGGTGTAGTTGGGATAAATTGTACCATCATCTGGTGTAGTTGGGATAAATTGTACCGTCATCTGGTGTAGTTGGGGATAAATTGTACCGTCATCTGGTGTAGTTGGGGATAAATTGTACCGTCATCTGGTGTAGTTGGGATAAATTGTACCGTCATCTGGTGTAGTTGGGGATAAATTGTACCGTCATCTGGTGTAGTTGGGGATAAATTGTACCGTCATCTGGTGTAGTTGGGATAAATTGTACCTTTTCTAGTGTAGTTGGGATAAATTGTACCGTCATCTGGTGTAGTTGGGGATAAATTGTACCTTTTCTAGTGTAGTTGGGATAAATTGTACCGTCATCTGGTGTAGTTGGGGATAAATTGTAGCGTCATCTGGTGTAGTTGGGATAAATTGTACCATCATCTGGTGTAGTTGGGATAAATTGTACCTTTTCTAGTGTAGTTGGGATAAATTGTACCGTCATCTGGTGTAGTTGGGATAAATTGTACCGTCATCTGGTGTAGTTGGGGATAAATTGTACCGTCATCTGGTGTAGTTGGGGATAAATTGTACCGTCGTCTGGTGTAGTTGGGATAAATTGTACCTTTTCTAGTGTAGTTGGGATAAATTGTACCGTCATCTGGTGTAGTTGGGGATAAATTGTACCGTCATCTGGTGTAGTTGGGGATAAATTGTACCGTCGTCTGGTGTAGTTGGGGATAAATTGTACCGTCGTCTGGTGTAGTTGGGGATAAATTGTACCGTCGTCTGGTGTAGTTGGGGATAAATTGTACCGTCGTCTGGTGTAGTTGGGGATAAATTGTACCGTCGTCTGGTGTAGTTGGGGATAAATTGTACCGTCATCTGGTGTAGTTGGGATAAATTGTACCGTCATCTGGTGTAGTTGGGGATAAATTGTAGCGTCATCTAATGTACTTGTGATAAATTGTACCGTTTCTAGTGTAGTTGGGATAAATTGTAGCGTCATCTAATGTACTTGTGATAAATTGTACCGTTTCTAGTGTAGTTGGGATAAATTGTACCGTTTCTAGTGTAGTTGGGATAAATTGTACCGTTTCTAGTGTAGTTGGGATAAATTGTACCGTTTCTAGTGTAGTTGGGATAAATTGTACCGTCATCTGGTGTAGTTGGGGATAAATTGTAGCGTCATCTAATGTACTTGTGATAAATTGTACCGTTTCTAGTGTAGTTGGGATAAATTGTACCGTTTCTAGTGTAGTTGGGATAAATTGTACCGTTTCTAGTGTAGTTGGGATAAATTGTACCGTTTCTAGTGTAGTTGGGATAAATTGTACCGTCATCTGGTGTAGTTGGGATAAATTGTACCGTTTCTAGTGTAGTTGGGATAAATTGTACCGTTTCTAGTGTAGTTGGGATAAATTGTACCGTCATCTGGTGTAGTTGGGATAAATTGTAGCGTCATCTGGTGTAGTTGGGATAAATTGTACCGTTTCTAGTGTAGTTGGGATAAATTGTACCGTCATCTGGTGTAGTTGGGGATAAATTGTAGCGTCATCTAATGTACTTGTGATAAATTGTACCGTTTCTAGTGTAGTTGGGATAAATTGTACCGTCATCTGGTGTAGTTGGGGATAAATTGTACCGTCATCTAGTGTAGTTGGGATAAATTGTACCGTCATCTGGTGTAGTTGGGATAAATTGTACCGTCATCTGGTGTAGTTGGGATAAATTGTACCGTCGTCTGGTGTAGTTGGGATAAATTGTAGCGTCATCTGGTGTAGTTGGGGATAAATTGTACCGTCGTCTGGTGTAGTTGGGATAAATTGTAGCGTCATCTGGTGTAGTTGGGATAAATTGTACCGTCATCTGGTGTAGTTGGGGATAAATTGTACCGTCATCTAGTGTAGTTGGGGATAAATTGTACCGTCGTCTGGTGTAGTTGGGGATAAATTGTACCGTTTCTAGTGTGGTTGGGATAAAACCTCCTCGTGTTTACTAGTTGACAAATAATTCATCCAGCTTTTCTTCCTAGATTTTCTTCCATAGTCTTTGCCCACCCAAGATGAATCTGCAAGGCTGGTGTGTTGCTGCCCCCAACTGACGTGCCTCATCTGCCCGGGGCCCGAACTCTGGACACTCAGGGTTAGCAGCAATTCTGCCTGACCACACCCGTCCCACAACGAAGTTGCCATGGCCTAGATGTTGAGAGCCCCTGAACAGGTTAAAATAAAACCTGTCGCTGTTTGTTCTGTCGTGGGCCTGACAGAATTATTAGGCTGTATATTCAAACAAATTTGGATCTCCAGTCATTATTGATTGGCTACTGTTGGTATGTGCGTAGATCAACTTGTGCTACAACTTCCTATTGGCGCAGTGGGCGCGACATTTATACAGTCAGGATTTCCTACCGCTAGGACTATTCTGTAATGTAAAGAACCAATTTTTAGCTTTAGTTAGGAGCTTAAATTTTTTTTAGTTTTAATTTTTCTATATTTTCGTTATCACTTAATTAAATCCTAATTTATATTGATATAAATCAGTGTTTCTTCCAGACTTTTTTCTCTGGGGGGGGGGGGACTTTTAAATTTGGGGGGGGGGGGGGGACAACACTGTTAAAAGTATATTTTTTTCTATATAATTCCATTTCGTTCGGGTGGGGGGGGAGGATCGGCGGTAGACTTTTTTCGGGGGGTAGGGGGGGGGGGGGAGCGGCAGACTTCTTTCTGCCGAAGAGATGCCTGAAAGAAACTCTGTTATGACTGTTAGAAAGATTTACATAATTCAGTCTTCAGTCATTCCAGCCTTCAGCATATGCAATATTTTTAGACCGACACCTTGTAAACTAGACATGCAATATTTTTAGACCGACAACTTGTAAACTAGACATTTGCAATATTTTTAGACCGACACCTTGTAAACTAGACATATGCAATATTTTTAGACCGACAACTTGTAAACTAGACATATGCAATATTTTTAGACCGACACCTTGTAAACTAGACATATGCAATATTTTTAGACCGACAACTTGTAAACTAGACATTTGCAATATTTTTAGACCGACAACTTGTAAACTAGACATATGCAATATTTTTAGACCGACAACTTGTAAACTAGACATATGCAATATTTTTAGACCGACAACTTGTAAACTAGTCTAAAAAGTTGGTAAGCTGTGGCGTTCCTAGTGTGTATCATGTAACTTGGGACGTTCATACTAAGGATCACACGATAAAAGACTTCTCAGGGTAGTTTTGTGTACAGTTGGCTTTTGTTTGTTAATTGCACGTCCATGTTATGAGAGCCCACACTTGGTACATGCTGAGATAGAGACCCACACTTGGTACATGCTGAGATAGAGACCCACACTTGGTACATGCTGAGATAGAGACCCACACTTGGTACATGCTGAGAAATGAGTTGCATGCTGACCCACACTTACAATACGATATGCACAGTTAGTTTAACCCCCTAGTGATCTATCGTTTTAGTACCGGCCTTTGGTTTATAGAGTTATAACCCCCTAGAGGCCATTGGTTTGTGTAGTTTAACCCCCTAGCGGCCATTGGTTTGTGTAGTTTAACCCCCTAGCGGCCATTGGTTTGTGTAGTTTAACCCCCTAGCGGCCATTGGTTTGTGTAGTTTAACCCCCTAGCGGCCATTGGTTTGTGTAGCTTAACCCCCTAGCGGCCATTGGTTTGTGTAGTTTAACCCCCTAGCGGTCACTGTTTTGTGTAGTTAAACCCCCTTAGCGGTCATTGGTTGTTTGTAGTTTAACCCCCTAGCGGCCATTGGTTTGTGTAGTTTAACCCCCTAGCGGCCATTGGTTTATGTAGTTTAACCCCCTAGCGGCCATTGGTTTGTGTAGTTTAACCCCCTGGCGGCCACGAACAGTTGCTCCTAAAACAGAAGAAAGTGATAAAGTAGGCCAAGTACACTCGTTTTCGAGCTATTTTTAGACTAAACCAACGTCAAAATATATTTCAGTAGAGATAACGCAAGAATTGTATTTCATGTTGTTTTTTACTTGACAAATGTCCAAACTGTGTTCCTTTAACCTACCCATCAAGACTGTAGTGGCCTATTCTTGTCACAGGTATACCCCCCTCCCTTCCCCCCCCCCCGTCACTCCCCATCTATTACCAGCAGGTTGTGTACATACAATGATCATATAATGGGACGTCACGTGGGCTACCAGCTGACAGACGTGACGGCAGACACGTAGCCCAAGTTTCTTCTACTCGGCTAGTGTCTGTCTGCCAATATATCAATACTCACATCCGGTGCCTGGGGAGGGGGGGGGGGGGGAAGGGGACAGGGCGGCGTCCGGGTAGCGCCCGTATAATCTGTTAACACCTCCTTAGTTATTTTTTTCTTAAACATCTAGATCTAGCCATGTGGTAACAGACAGACAGACAGACAGACATGACAAAACCTCATGGACATATGAGAGACAAGTCTACGTGCCACTGCATACTCAATACATATGGCATATATATAGGCCTAAATAAGTATATATATATATATATATATATATATATATATATATATATATATATATATATATATATATATATATATATATATATATATATATATCGGAGGCCATATTTCTGTAGTATGCCCTGGGCGCATGAAGGCGTCGCATGTAAATTGATATCTTGCACACATCAGTGTGTGTAAATGGATATCTTGAGTACATATGAAATTTTAAATGTCGGGTGTCGCCATCTACCAATGGTAGAGTGTGTAGATCAATAAACCGTGCATAATATTCACTTTGGCTTTTGAACTGCGCCTCCAGTTTGTAAAAGAGTTGAACAGAGTTCTAAATTTGCCGTTAGGTTTTACTAAGTACCAGACAAATCAATAAACATCGGAAACGGACCAGCGCTACAGGTGTATCCAATAACAAATCAATGCCTCGATGAATTGTTCATGTTTGTCTAATGTTTGATCAACTCTCAGCTCTGTTTGAGCGTTATTTAATGATATGCAATAGTTTAAAGGCGGTAAATCCAGAACTATGTGTTTGTGTAACTGGCGTTGATGTTACAGAAAACTATGTTACAAAACATTGTTACAAAACACATTACAATAAAAATATTATATAACACAATGTTACAGAAAACGATGTTATAAATTAAAGTTTTACAGACCATACAAAACATTTTAATAAAAAGTGTGCGTTGATATACGCGCGGGATACCTCCCCCCTCCCCCCTCCACCGAGCAAAATAGGAAATATGTATTATTTATATAGAAAATAAATATTTAAATCAGTGTTCGAAATGTATAGCCACCCCCCCCCCCCTGAATGTTTAAAGTCCCCCCACCCCCGGAGAAGAATGTCTGAAAGAAACTCCGTATGCAGGACATCTTGTGTTTTGTAACACGTCACGGTTCGCTGCTAAAATGGGCGGGGGAATCCGCGGGCTAATGCGCATGCGTCCTATCGATATTTTGCCCATGATTGAACTGCTCTAGGTTGGTTCGATTTCATTTGCCGTCTATTGACTTTTTCAGAAACATGTAAACACGGGCAGGTCTCAAATTTCCGAATCGAAATCTGCACTTAGGGAGGACACAGGACACAATCCGCACCCCCCGGGACACACGATCCGCACCCCGGGAGAACACAATCCGCACCCCCCGGGACACACGATGGGTGACTTGAAAGGTCACGCCATACCGGGCAGCTTCTTCTTGCTGTACGGGCTGTGGTGTGCTGTCGGCTGTCTCAGGAAGTACTTTATCAGCAGACGGCAAGGACAGGCCTACGTCACGACGGCGACTCACAAGCTGTCTTGCTGTCCGGGTAAGGTCAGCCGTCTGCCCGTAGAGCCGACAGTCAAAGTGCTGCTGTCCGCAGGGGGCTTGATGGGGGAGCTTCTGGCACATCTGCCCGTCCCACCCATGGGCATAGGTGAGTGCTTATAGAAGGCTAATTAATTTGTCTAGATAGCATGCAGTGTTTCTTTCTGACTTTTTTCTCCAGGGGGGGGGGGGGAGCACTTGGTATTTTCGAGGGGGGGGGGGGGACAATTGTAAAGTATATATTTTCTACATATACCCATGAAACGTTAGGCGACCAAGGGCGCCTACAGACAGTTTGGATCAACCATGTTTAGAAATTTGTTGTCACTTACTGGCGCATAAAATTAGGGCGTTGCATGCTATCTAAATCTTCATTATTGTTTATTACGATGACTTATATTATTAGAAACTGCATTTGTTTGCCTTTAATTTGATGCCAGTTTCAATGATCGAAGTAAATAACTAGTCTAGAAAATGCTTATTGAATGATTTTGAAAAGAATGAAATGATTTTACAAAGATGGGAAGCTGCTGAAAAGTTTTCCTTTGGTACGTTTCGTTTCTAAGACATGTTTATATGCAGTGTCCTGTTTGTGACAATATAAGTTGTGACCTGTTTATGACAGTCTTTGTTGTGTCTGTTTGTGACTGTCTTTTTTGTGACAGTTTTTCAAAGTGTCGTCAGCTCAAGTTCATCTCATTTAATAAAAACAAGGCGGACAAAGTTGGCTATCGTCTCGATGACAAAGTTGGCTATTGTCTCGATCTGGTTATTGTTTTATTAAAATGTTCTAAAGCCCTTAATTTTTCTTAATGATGAAAATGAGTTGTGTACCAACTAGCTAATAAAAGGTTTGTTAACATAAAACATGCTACCGTGTACTGATGTAGCCAATCAAATGTTTGTGATACAGTGCAGCACGCGACAATGTAGCCAATCAAATGTTTATGTTACAGAGCAGCATGCTACAGCCAATCAAATGTTTGTATTACAGTGCAACATGCTACAGCCAATCAAATGTTTGTATTACAGTGCAACATGCTACAGCCAATCAAATGTTTGTATTACAGTGCAACATGCTACAGCCAATCAAATGTTTGTTACAGTACAGCATGTTACAGCCAATCAAATGTTTGTTACAGTACAGCATGTTACAGCCAATCAAATGTTTGTTACAGTACAGCATGCTACAGCCAATTAAATGTTTGTTACAGTACAGCATGCTACAGCCAATCAAATGTTTGTGTATTACAGTACAGCATGCTACAGCCAATCAAATGTTTGTTACAGTACAGCATGTTACAGCCAATCAAATGTTTGATACAGTACAGCATGCTACAGCCAATGAATGTTTGTGTTACAGTGCAGCACGCGACCATGTATCTGTTCTTCTTGCTGTCCGGGGTGACTGACCTGGGTGTCCACTTCGGCCTGCCCCTGCCCCACGGGACCGACTTCATCTCCCTGGTGCTGGCCCTGCTGATAGAGGGTCTGCTCTTCGCCAGTCACGTGCACGGCCGGCCAGAACTGGACGTCCAACTCCACATGCTGCTGGTCTACGTCATCTTCACCACAGCCGTCGTCATCGCTTTGGAGATCAAGTAGGTTGTGGTGGTAGGTTGTGATGGTAGGTTGTGGTGGTGGTTGTTGTGGTGGTTGTTGTGGTGGTTGTTGTAGTAGGTTGTGAAGGTATGTTTTGGTGGTAAGTTGTGATGGTAGGTTGTGGTGGTAGGTTGTGATGGTAGGTTGTGGTGGTAGGTTGTGATGGTAGATTGTGATGGTAGGTTGTAGTGGTAGCTTATTATGTTGGTACGTTGTTGTATCCGTAGGTTGTGGTGTGGGTAGTTTAGTTGTCCGTAATTTAGGTATCCATAGGTTGTGGTGTGGGTAGTGTGGGTGTCCGTAGGTTGTGGTGTGGGTAGTTTAGGTGTCCGTAGATTGTGGTGTGGGTAGTGTAGGTGTCCGTAATTTAGGTGTCCATAGGTTGTGGTGTGGGTAGGTTGTGGTGTGGGTAGGTTGTGGTGTGGGTAGGTTGTGGTGTGGGTAGGTTGTGGTGTGGGTAGGTTGTGGTGTGGGTAGTGTGGGTGTCCGTAGGTTGTGGTGTGGGTAGTTTAGGTGTCCGTAATTTAGGTGTCCATAGGTTGTGGTGTGGGTAGTGTGGGTGTCCATAGGTTGTAACAAGGTTGTGGTGCAGAACGTCGATGGTGATTTGAGACAGAATGGTGTTGTTAGCTCTGTATTTCATGCCATAAGTTGTGTTGTTAGCTCTGTATTTCATGCCATAAGTTGTGTTGTTAGCTCTGTATTTCATGCCATAAGTTGTGTTGTTAGCTCTGTATTTCATGCCATAAGTTGTTAGCTCTGTATTTCATGCCTTAAGTTGTGTTGTAAGCTCTGTATTTCATGCCATAAGTTGTGTTGTTAGCTCTGTATTTCATGCCATAAGTTGTGTTGTTAGCTCTGTATTTCATGCCATAAGTTGTGTTGTTAGCTCTGTATTTCATGCCATAAGTTGTGTTGTTAGCTCTGTATTTCATGCCATAAGTTTGTTGTTAGCTCTGTATTTCATGCCATAAGTTGTGTTGTTAGCTCTGTATTTCATGCCATAAGTTGTGTTGTTAGCTCTGTATTTCATGCCATAAGTTGTGTTGTTAGCTCTGTATTTCATGCCATAAGTTGTGTTGTTAGCTCTGTATTTCATGCCATAAGTTGTGTTGTTAGCTCTGTATTTCATGCCATAAGTTGTGTTGTTAGCTCTGTATTTCATGCCATAAGTTTGTTGTTAGCTCTGTATTTCATGCCATAAGTTGTGTTGTTAGCTCTGTATTTCATGCCATAAGTTGTGTTGTTAGCTCTGTATTTCATGCCATAAGTTGTGTTGTTAGCTCTGTATTTCATGCCATAAGTTGTGTTGTTAGCTCTGTATTTCATGCCTTAAGTTGTGTTGTTAGCTCTGTATTTCATGCCATAAGTTGTTAGCTCTGTATTTCATGCCTTAAGTTGTGTTGTTAGCTCTGTATTTCATGCCATAAGTTGTGTTGTTAGCTCTGTATTTCATGCCATAAGTTGTGTTGTTAGCTCTGTATTTCATGCCATAAGTTGTGTTGTTAGCTCTGTATTTCATGCCTTAAGTTGTGTTGTTAGCTCTGTATTTCATGCCATAAGTTGTGTTGTTAGCTCTGTATTTCATGCCTTAAGTTGTGTTGTTAGCTCTGTATTTCATGCCATAAGTTGTGTTGTTAGCTCTGTATTTCATGCCTTAAGTTGTGTTGTTAGCTCTGTATTTCATGCCTTAAGTTGTGTTGTTAGCTCTGTATTTCATGCCATAAGTTGTGTTGTTAGCTCTGTATTTCATGCCATAAGTTGTGTTGTTAGCTCTGTATTTCATGCCTTAAGTTGTGTGTGTGAACTTCCGGTCAGGTTCAGCAACTCCGCGCTACTGAGCATGGCGAGGGCGTACCTTATGATGCTGCAGGGTAGCTGGTTCTGGGCGGTGGGCGTCATCCTGTACGCCCATGGGGAGCCCAACACTGCTTGGGCCCTGGACAACCCCGAGAGCAGCATGCAAGCCGCCATCTACTTCAGGTGATCACAGCTTTCTTAGCTAGGGTTGGTTCAGCTTTCTTAGCTAGGGTTGGTTCAGCTTTCTTAGCTAGGGTTGGTTCAGCTTTCTTAGCTAGGGTTGGTTTAGCTTTCTTAGCTAGGGTTGGTTCAGCTTTCTTAGCTAGAGTTGGTTCAGCTTTCTTAGCTAGGGTTGGTTCAGCTTTCTTAGCTAGAGTTGGTTCAGCTTTCTTAGCTAGGGTTGGTTCAGCTTTCTTAGCTAGAGTTGGTTCAGCTTTCTTAGCTAGGGTTGGTTCAACTTTCTTAGCTAGCGTTGGTCCAGCTTTCTTAGCTAGGGTTGGTTCAGCTTTCTTAGCTAGGGTTGGTTCAGCTTTCTTAGCTAGAGTTGGTTCAGCTTTCTTAGCTAGGGTTGGTTCAGCTTTCTTAGCTAGGGTTGGTTCAGCTTCCTTAGCTAGGGTTGGTTCAGCTTTCTTAGCTAGGGTTGTTTCAGCTTTCTTAGCTAGGGTTTGTTCAGCTTTCCTTAGCTAGGGTTGTTTCAGCTTTCTTAGCTAGGGTTGTTTCAGCTTTCTTAGCTAGGGTTGGTTCAGCTTTCTTAGCTAGGGTTGGTTCAGCTTTCTTAGCCAGGGTTGGTTCAGCTTTCTTAGCTAGGGTTGGTTCAGCTTTCTTAGCTAGGGTTGGTTCAGCTTTCTTAGCTAGGGTTGGTTCAGCTTTCTTAGCTAGGGTTGGTTCAGCTTTCTTAGCCAGGGTTGGTTCAGCTTTCTTAGCTAGGGTTGGTTCAGCTTTCTTAGCTAGGGTTGGTTCAGCTTTCTTAGCTAGGGTTGGTTCAGCTTTCTTAGCTAGGGTTGTTTCAGCTTTCTTAGCTAGGGTTGGTTCAGCTTTCTTAGCTAGGGTTGGTTCAGCTTTCTTAGCTATGGTTGGTTCAGCTTTCTTAGCTAGGGTTGGTTCAGCTTCCTTAGCTAGGGTTGTTTCAGCTTTCTTAGCTAGGGTTTGTTCAGCTTTCCTTAGCTAGGGTTGGTTCAGCTTTCTTAGCTAGGGTTTGTTAAACTTAGATGGGAATGGTGTTAGTTCAACTTTGTCAGCTGGGGGTGGTGTTAGTTCAACTTTGTTAGCTGGGGGTGGTGTTAGTTCAACTTTGTTAACTGAGGGTGGTGTTAGTTCAACTTTGTTAGCTGGGGGTGGTGTTAGTTCAACTTTGTTACCTGAGGGTGATGTTAGTTCAACTTTGTTAACTGGGGGTGGTGTTAGTTCAACTTTGTTAACTGGGGGTGGTGTTAGTTCAACTTTGTTAGCTGGGGGTGGTGTTAGTTCAACTTTGTTAACTGGGGTGGTGTTAGTTCAACTTTGTTAACTGGGGGTGATGTTAGTTCAACTTTGTTAACTGATAGTGAAGCTTTGTTAACTGGGCATGTTGATGATAGTGAAGCTTTGTTAACTGGGCATGTTGATGATAGTGAAGCTTTGTTAGCTGGGCATGTTGATGATAGCTTTGTTAACTGGGCATGTTGATGATAGCTTTGTTAACTGGGCATGTTGATGATAGTGAAGCTTTGTTAACTGGGCATGTTGATGATAGTGAAGCTTTGTTAACTGGGCATGTTGATGATAGTGAAGCTTTGTTAGCTGGGCATGTTGATGATAGCTTTGTTAACTGGGCATGTTGATGATAGCTTTGTTAACTGGGCATGTTGATGATAGCTTTGTTAACTGGGCATGTTGATGATAGTGAAGCGTTGTTAACTGGGCATGTTGATGATAGTGAAGCTTTGTTAACTGGGCATGTTGATGATAGTGAAGCTTTGTTAGCTGGGCATGTTGATGATAGCTTTGTTAACTGGGCATGTTGATGATAGCTTTGTTAACTGGGCATGTTGATGATAGCTTTGTTAACTGGGCATGTTGATGATAGCTTTGTTAACTGGGCATGTTGATGATAGCTTTGTTAACTGGGCATGTTGATGATAGTGAAGCTTTGTTTTTCTCCCACCCAGCTGGCACTGTGCTGGTCACGTGATCGTCCTACTGGTCCTGACGGCCCTCATGTCACTGTGCTACAGGAAACAAGGGGAGAGCACGCTACACATGGAGCTCAACTCACTAGAGCCGGAAGTCAACAGCAGCAAGGAGGGTTATGGGATACTGGCGTGGACAGATGCTGACGACGACAGTGATGAAGTTCTCAGACAAGCCATGATGTAGATTGGGAGCTGGTGGTTCATTAGCTGCTTCATTTGGAGCTGGTGGTTCTTTAGCTGCTTCATTTGGAGCTGGTGGTTCATTTGGAGCTGGTGGTTCTTTAGCTGCTTCATTGGGAGCTGGTGGTTCATTAGCTGCTTCATTTGGAGCTGGTGGTTCATTAGCTGCTTCATTGGGAGCTGGTGGTTCATTTGGAGCTGGTGGTTCTTTAGCTGCTTCATTGGGAGCTGGTGGTTCATTAGCTGCTTCATTGGGAGCTGGTGGTTCATTAGCTGCTTCATTGGGAGCTGGTGGTTCATTAGCTGCTTCATTGGGAGCTGGTGGTTCATTAGCTGCTTCATTTGGAGCTGGTGGTTCATTGGCTGCTTCATTTGGAGCTGGTGGTTCATTGGGAGCTGGTGGTTCATTAGCTGCTTCATTTGGAGCTGGTGGTTCATTAGCTGCTTCATTTGGAGCTGGTGGTTCATTAGCTGCTTCATTTGGAGCTGGAGATTCATTAGCTGCTTCGTTGGGAGCTGGTGGTTCATTAGCTGCTTCATTGGGAGCAGGAGGTTTATCAGCTGTTAGACTTTGGAGGCATATCTTCTGGCGGCCACTGCCCCTCCCCCTAACGCAAAAGAAAAATAGGCCAGCCCTCCCCCTTCTCAATAAAGTTCCAAATGCCAACCCATCCCCCTCCCTCCCTAGAAACAAATGACCGAAAGAAATGCTATTCGGGAACTAGTGAAATAATTAACAGTCAGCATTCAGTTTTTTAACACTGACCTTGTTAATTCAAGTATTCATTGTTTTTGTTAATTCTCAGGACGTTTGACATACAAGAACAAACTTGTACAGATTTTCTATTTCCTCCACTTTTTACATGTCTACATACTGTTTAGAATTACATTTTTTTGTTTTATTTATTTTATTAGCATTTTTCTTGTTTTATTTATTTGCATACGTTTTTTTTAATCATGTAGATCTATCTTTTATAACTTTTAATAAAACCATGAATAAAAAAAAGATTATTTTTTTCATTAATTTAATGCTAGACTTTTTATTATTTGTGCATAGATTGTTTCATGCATACATCTCTATTCAGCTTAATCATTAATGCGCACTCACTTAAATAAACCTTTTATTTTTTCGTATATACGAAGTATAGTCAGAAAGTTTTGTAATCGTGCAAAAAAAATCGTGATATATGGAAATCTCGACGTTTACACCTAACTGATACTGATAAACATAATTTTGCAATCTTGTCCGTATGTCTGTGTGTATATGTGTGTGTCTGTCTGTGTGTCTGTAAACACGATAACTTGAGTACCGTTACAGCTAGGTTGATGAAATTTTATATATAAGTATTTTATCAAAATCGTAGATCCATATCAATTTTTGAGCGATTTCCGATAACCGGAAGTGGTACTTTTTTACTTTGAATTTTTCAAAAGCCTATAACTTGAGTACTATTTCAGATAGATAAATAAAATTTCACATGTAAGTAAAAGTTCTAATTCTCTACCTTCTATCAAATTTTGAGTAATTTCCGTTGACCGGAAGTAGTAATTTACGCTATTTCCAATTTCTCAAAAAAGGCATGTAAATTTATAAAGTACTAATAATATTCCGCACTATTATGCATATTTTGTTTTGGCGTTCGCTTGGTGCACAATTCTTTTTTTTTACGAGATTCTATTCTATTTTTAGCAGTTGAAGTAATTAAAAATCATGTCTATATTCCGAGTTGCCATCCCATGTAGTGTTATATTATATAAGAATATTCGAGAAAGTTTAGGGGAGATCACTCCTGGTATATTTTTTTAGTTCTTTGTAAGGTTTACCCTGGCTAGTAGTTTAAAATTAATTTTCTCCACTGCACATTTTTCAATACCTAAAAGCTGCACTTGACCAAATGACATCACACTGGTGGGGTATTTTATTAGGAAGTGGTGTGTATTATGGTGCATTCTAATATATATATATATATATATATATATATATATATATATATATATATATATATATATATATATTATAAAGTTACATAATGTGAGTTTAATTATTTGACTGAACAATTGGTCATTACAACACCATTCAGTCAGACTTTAATCTTCCACAATTTTGTAGCAACTACAAAAACCTGTGGTTAGCTACTGTTGTGTATCCATCAAACTGAAATTCTTGATTCAACCAAAAATTATTTTATTAAATAGAAGGCAAAGGTAGTGTGCAAGCTGGTACCAGTATTTATAAACTTTTTATTAGTTCGTAATGTCTGTTTGGTGTTAATACAGCGATGCATTTGTCTTCAATGACAGTGCAAGAATATCTCTTTTTCGTTTTACTTTGACATAAGATTAGTGTACATTTTATTAAAAGATTACTCAATTCAACAATGAACGGGGAGAAATTACCAGAGATCACTTGGTCAGCTGACTGAAGATGGTGTATTTCTGGTCACTGAAGGTTGTTTTCTTGTAAGGGAATCAACCACAGACTACTTAGAGGCAGATAATTGTCTTTTAGAGATTGCAAGCTACTGTTTGTTTTAAAGGAAATATTTGTAGTTGTATGTGGTTATTACTCCATTTTCAACAAATATCTAACAAGTAGAATTTTTTTTTTAAAGTTATAACATTAATAATAATAAGCTTTCAATGCAAAATTAAAAACTAAACAAACCTGCTTTCTTTAATAAAAGATGGGTTGCTTTTATTAAAGAAAGCAAATTTGTTTACTTTTTTTTTTTAATTCAGAACATTAAAAGCTTTTTGTTATTATATAAATAAAAGAGGTTTAAGTTTTCACAGTTATTATAATAGTTACCATTGTGGTGCTCTACTGGTTGTTTGAGGTGAAAGACATTAAAAAGTCAAGAGAATACTTTATTATCTTGCATATTTTATAGCACAAATTATTTACACACTTTCTCATACAAAACAAACAATCCAAGAAAAATCCAATTTTTCTATTTGAATAGTGAACTTGCTAAACTAGTACCCAAACTATCCTAGCGTGGCTAGCCACTGAGTTATCCACAATACAATGAGTGTCAGTGACAATGCTTTTAACTTAGCTGGTATTGCTGTCTGTCTTAAAATAAACTTAGAAAAATTTGTCCTTTCTGTCTTTGTACATGACCTCTCCATTTCTGTACTTCCTTTCTTTCTCTACCTGGAGTTAAATGGAAATGTATTAAAGACATTGAGACTAGGTACTATCATGAAATCAGAGTTTCTTCCATGCAAAAAAGTCTGGAAGAAACACTGCATGAAATAGAAATAGATTGAACATGATAGATCAATGAAAAGCTAAACATTTTTTGGACCAAGAGAGACTACTCCAAACTTTCTTTATTATTTTATTTAAATGAATTAAGTACCAAAACAATTTAAATAACACAAAAAAATACATGAACTTTCAGAAATATAAAGTTCTTATAGCTTATACCCAGAGCCGCTTGAGAAATGGCCACTAGATTTGACTATTTTGATTCAAATGACAGTGGATATGACTGCGTGAAAAAGTTTAATTTATTACCTACTGAGCTTCATTATGGCACAGTTATTGTTGATTTTAGAAAGCAGTTTAACAATCAAATCACAACCCAGTTCCAATCATGCCTAATCTTTAAAGCCATAAAATTTAACTCTAACATGTACTGAAACAAAACGCAACATTTACTGAACCAACCATAATCCTATCCCTACTTACATGATTTTGATGACTAGAGAGCGATACCTTACTTACATGATTTTGATGACTAGAGAATGATACCCAGCCTACATGATTTTGATGACTAGAGAATGATACCCTGCCTACATGATTTTGATGACTAGAGAATGATACCCTGCTTACATGATTTTGATGACTAGAGAATGATACCCTGCCTACATGATTTTGATGACTAGAGAATGATACCCTACTTACATGATTTTGATATGCAGTATAAGTCAAAAGGGAAACTGGAAACACAAAGAGGAGACAAGCAATGCCAAAAGAACTAAAAGTGTATTTAAAGCGCTCATTCTGTGTTGCTTTTAGGGCTATAAATCTCTGGACAGCAGGATCCAACTGAAAAAAAAAAGTATGTATAGAATTACTTCAAAATATTTCCTATAATAATTTTACAATTTGATCTAATTAAAGAATAGCTATTGAATGTTTGAAATTTTTTTTTTGCATTGCTTGCACTTTTTGTTTGATTGGTACATTAACTACTGCTAAAGCTATTAATTCAACAAATTGTTGTCACAGGCATATATTTTACCAAGTTAAAGACACATTTTTATTACTGGATACTTTCTTTTACTAATAAACTATACTATATATTCAGTGAAAAAGACAGCATCAGACTCATTTCCGTGCATACCCATAAGACATGAAAGATAGATAATCCTACAAAAATGTTTAATTGCTATGCAGATATCCACACTAAGACAAAGCTCCCTCTTCTCACTATTCCAACTGTCCCCCACGTCTTGTCTACTGTCATTCTATTCTTGTCACGTCAGGCTCACACTACACTTATTCTATTAAACTAATTTAAAAAAAAAAACACTTTTTAACCATCTCATCTAACGTCAATACAATCTAACCCCAGTATATTATTTTTAATTGTCTCTGATTTACTCTATGTTAGCATGTTTCCTAGTGCCATTTAAAAAATGACCCCTCAATGGTCAGACAAACTTCTGGTGGGGTTAGAACTCTGAGGATCTGCTTCATTCAACTTTCACATACAGATTCAAACCTTTGAACCCTGACCCTAAAATCCCTGTGTCCCCGAGCTAATTGTACACCCAACAGAATCTCAATTAAAAAAATGAAGACTACAAATATAACAACATTAATTTCATTATTTTAAATAACGAAGAGTCAAATAGGGGTGTGGGACAAAAGGCCGACATCAAAAAAGGCCAACTGGATTTAAGGCAGACAAACATAAAAAATCCTAATATTGCAAAATATGGGTTACTATATAGCTCCACTTTGGACAATTGGACAAACATCAAAGAACAAAGACAACAGCTGTCTGCATCATTGCCCACTTGCAATAAGGCGGAACGCCAAGAGACAAGGTGAACAATTGGGCCCATGCGACTGGAGATTAAGGGAATGTATAAGAGATAAACAGGTGGGGGGAGGGGGATATACTTTAAAAAAAAGTTTGTGGGTGATCTGCCAATTAACTTACACTTTGTGAATAGGGCCTACAACACACTATAGGCCCATCTAATGCTGTTGTTTCAACATGCCCTTACAAGGTAAATTACTCTAGGCAAATCTAGAATAAACACATGTATTCAATGCACCCGTTGTAACTAATAATCTTCAAAGCTATTCGGCTAGGGTCATTTTCATTCATTTGTTATGTTACAGTTTTGTTGTCAAAAAAACTGGTATTTAGTTCACGAGAATGTACAAATCAGGTGCCTGACAAGTGTTTCCATAGCTTGTTTACTGACAAGTGATGCCATAACTTGTTTACTGACTAGTGATGCCATAGCCTGTTTACTTCCTAACAACACACAAAATTATTCTTTTTTGAAAAACATAAAAAATCCTAACTATGCTGAGAAAAAAATGCAGGGATGTGACCAGACCAGGAAAAAAAATTAGGAAATTTTCTTCGGCCAAGAACTCAATATGTTTTATCTATTTTTTTTTATCGCAGTTAAGCAGTCTCACGCCATTACTGTTCTAATTAATCGTTTAATATAGCTAATATTATAAATAAAAGAAGTTTATGTTACTCTAAATTGACATTGAAAGTCTTGGCTAATTGCAATTTAATGTTTAACTTATAAACAACTTTTTTAAAAAAAATTACATTTGCAATGTAACAAAAGTGGCAAATAAGTTCAACATTTAGTTAATTTAAAGTGTACTAATCTAGTCTAGTTACACTTTTGTTTTCAATTTTAAATTATGCCTTATATTCTTTTAAAGATTGGCATGGTAAAAATGTTAGTCTTCAACTGTAAAATGCCTAGATTCAGATTAATTGTAATTTAAAAGTTTTGGGTTCAGGTGTTGGAAAATGAAATTGACCAGATTAGCTGAAATTAGAAAGGGTCTGATATGTGAACCAAAGTTAACCATTTCGATAGCCAAACCACATGGTTATTTTTGTTTTTGGAATGGCTGTAAATTGTTTGAGGTCATCCATAAATGACGTCACATTTTTTTTTACGATTTTTACCTCCCCTCTCCTCTCCATCACAAAAGACAGACCCCCCCTAAAATGACGTCACACCTCAGCCAAAAACCGCTCCCCCCTCCTCAAAATTGAATTTGAATTTATTTTTTTTAAACATCGATTTTTTTTTCTAAAATATTGACTGAGCTCAACCAACATAGGGTATTTTAATTAATTTATATTACAATTTTAAAGTTTTCTAAAACGCGTAATCTTAATCTAGCACCGTCAGACCTAGCGCAATCGTCTAATTAAAAAGAAATGTGCATATTTGACCTAAGTACTGTAATTCTTGATTTGAATACGAATATATGGAATGCGCAAGTCGGCCGCTTCCGTAGATGTCATTTTCGTTGTTTTTTTCCTAATTTTTAAAACTTCGGCAAAAATCGAAGATCGGCGGAAAAATTCGGCAAAAATTAAATCAGCGGAGGAAAATTGCAGCTGAAACGGAAAAATCGGATTTCCGCTAAAATTCGGAAAAGTCACATCCCTGAAAATGGCTTTTTCTGCCCTTTTTAGCTACAAAAACGCTGTGCTTATGCATAGCATGATGTCAGCCACCAACCAATACGTGCAGAAAGCACAGATTTGTAGCTGACACTATGAAACCCTCTAGGGACGGTTCGAAATGTATACCAATATTAATGACCCAAAATCCCCAATGTCAATATGATCTCTAGGCGTACTAGAAAGAAATTTATTTTCTAGCCCCTAATTAACTATAATATCAGTTTCCACTAAAGAAAATATATAACAGTATTGGTCACTAACAACAATATGGCGACCACACCAGACACATGACTATCAAAGATTTTTTGTCTTAGTTCCAGAGACCTTCTAAGATTTACTTTTAGAAATGTTTACCACAAGCACAATGGCGGGTTTTTACATTATAAAAACAAACTATAGGTGGCAGGGCTATATATCCCAGACAAAACATTTTAAAATTTGGTTTGAAGAATGAAGGTTAAATCAATAGAACTTTAAATTATCAATGGAGTAGGTACAAAAATGAGCGATTAAGTGAAGATTTAAATGGATTTAAAATTTTTAATCCATTTTTTTATTATCCATTTTAATCTTTACCCCAAGCTGAAAGTGATCTCCCTACAGACTGTAACCCACCTTCAAATGAAGAGATACATAAAGCTATAAAGCAGCTGAAAAATTGTAAGGCTCTAGGAATAGATGGTATACTGGCCGAAGCACTGACAGCAGATACAGAAACTAGCACCATACTACTACACACACTCTTCAAGAAAATCTGGGAAGATGAACAAATACCACAGGAGTGGAAGGAGGGACTACTTATAAAACTACCAAAGAAAGGCGAACTTAGTGCATGCTCTAACTATAGAGTTATAGAGTCCATCCCAGGCAAAGTCTTCAACAGAATATTATTAAACAGAATAATGGAAGCGATAGACCCCCAGCTTCGAGATCAACAGGCAGGTTTTTAGGAAGGAAAGGTCATGCATAGACCAAATTGCTACCCTGTGCATCATCATTGAACAGACCCAAGAGTGGAACTCACCTCTCTATATTAATCTCATAGATTACAAGAAGGCCTTTGATAGCCTGGATAGACAGTCAATGCTGAAATTGTTGAGACACTACGGAATGCCACAGAAAATAGTCAACATTATTATATCTTCATATAAAGGTCTGAAATGTAGAGTAGTGTAGACTTTGGAGGCCTTCCCAATACTTTCACCATTCCTGTTCCTGCTGGCCATAGACTGGATTATGAAGATGTCAACAGAGAAAATGCGAAACGGTATACAGTGGACACTGGAGCCAGCTGGATGACTTGAACTTTGCTGACGACCTGGCCCTTCTTTCTCACACACAACAGCAAATGCAAGATAAAACCAACATTGTTGCTAATTTTTCTACGTGCCTGGGCCTGAACATCCACAGAGGGAAAAGTAAAGTTCTCAAAGTCAATGCATCAAACAGCAACCCTATAACATTGGCAGAAGAAGCCTTAGAAGAAGTCACTTCAGAAGTGGATAGACTCACCTACCTAGGAAGTATTGTTGATAAGCAGGGGGTCATCCATAAATGACGTCACGCTTTTTTTGACGATTTTTACCTCCCCCCCTCCCATCCGTCACAAAAAGCAAGACCCCCCCCTAAAATGACGTCACATCTCAACCTACAACCCCCCTCAAAATTGCAGTTGAATTTTTTTAAAACATCTATATTTTTTCTAAAATCTTGTCTAAACTATTACAATTTATTAAAACATCTAAAATGCAAAATAACGTCTAAAATTCATTTTCTAGCATTGCTTTTTTATAATGCAAAAGTGTGACGTTGCAACATCTGAACCCCCCCCCACCTCATCAAAAAATTACGGACCCCCTCCCCCCTACAAGTATGACGTCATTTATGGATGGCCCCCAGGGTGGGACAGAAGCAGACATAAAAATAAGGATGGGCAAGGCAAGAGAAGTCTTCAACCAACTAAAAAATGTTTGGGGTTCTGGAGATTTAACTCTTGGAATAAAAATGAGGATCTTCAACACACTATAAATAAGTAGAAAATACAATCATTTATAAACGCATGCTTCAGAAAGATCCTGTGAAATTGCTGGCCTAAAACCATCAGAAATGATGTTCTATGGAAACGGACAAATCAACTGCCAGCTGAAGTAGAGATCCTTCAAAGAAAATAGAAATGGATTGGCCACACACTCAGGAAGCCTGTATCCAGACAGGCCCTCACCTGGAATCCACAGGGCAAGAGGAAGAGTGGCAGACCAAGAAAGACCTGAAGATGTGACTGACCTGGAAGAAGACACCAAGAAGATTGGATACACCTAGCCCAGGACAGAGGGGCCTGGAAAGCTCTTGTCAGCGGCCTATGTCCCAGGAAGGGTGACAGGCAAACCTAACCTAACATTTAAATATGGATGTTTATTATTATTATTTAGTGGTCATGTTAAAATTGAAAATTGAGCAGACCTAAATTTTAGAATTAGCGAGAATCCTGAATTAAATTATAACTTTAAGATTTAGAATAATCTAGTGAGGATATCTATTTTTGAGGTCTAGATCTAGCTGTAATTTTTGCATACCAAATATTTCATTTTCTAAGGTAAAAGCCTACTACAATTCATGGGTTAAATTTCACTTGCCAAGAATCCTGAGCCTCCTGCAGCTCTGAATGGATTCGAATGCTTTTTCATCCATTCGGCTTTACGATTCTCCCTAGCTTTCGCTCTTTCCTTAATTGCTCTTAACTCATCGGGTGTAGCATCATACATTTTCCAAGGATCCCATTTTCTAGAAACAGACATTTTTTTTTAAAAAAAGTTGAGTTTGCTTATAAATCTAGATCTAGAAGTGGACTGAATCCACTGTTTACACAAATGCTGTTTCTGATTCCTTCAAGTAACAACAGGGGTCACATAACCGGAAGTTGGTTGGATTCGTTCGGTTAATTTCCATGCACATCATAATAAACATCCAACATGCAGTTCATCGTCACAAAAGCCTAAATATTTTAAATACAAATACGGGCTACGCTTTAGTCCTTGTATGATGTCACTCGTCTTCACCCCCCTCAATCCCCCCCCCCTTTAAAAAATGTCGATCAGTGGCGTAGACAAGCACATAACAGTAACAGTGAAGGCTTAGGACTGTAGTGGTTTTTAGGTTTTTACTTTCTCGTATAGATCTAGATCTATACAAAGTATAGAGAAAGCCTTGTAATTGTGCAAAAAAAAAAAATTCGAGATTTTTACAAATCTCGACGTTCTACACCACCCTGAGTCGGAAAAACATATTTCTGCAATCTTGTCCGTATGTCTGTGTGTGTCTGTGAGTCTGTAAACACGATAACTTGAGTACCATTACAGCTAGGTTAATGAAATTTCATATAGATCTATAAGTATTTTATCAAAATCGTTGATCCGTATCAACTTTTGAGCGATTTCCGATAACCGGAAGTGGTACTTTTTCTACTTTGAATTTTCAAAAGCCTACAAAAACTTGAGTACTATTTCAGATAGATACATGAAATTTCACATGTAAGTAAAAGATCTAATCCTCTACCACCTTCTATCAAATTTTGAGTAATTTCCGTTGACCGGAAATAGTAATTTACGCTATTTCCAATTTCTCAAAAAACGCATGTAAATATATAAAGTACTAATAATATTCCGCACTATTATGCACATTTTGTTTTGTCGTTCGCTTGGTGCACAATTCTTTTTTCTACGAGATTCTATTATATTTTTTAAAAGTTTAAGTAATTAAAATTCATGTCTATATTCCGAATTGCCATCCCAAGTAGTGTTATATAAGAATACGAGCCGACCCGCGGTGTATCATACGCCGTTATTTAGTTGTTTTTTCTACTTTTCAGTAATTCATAAATTGGGAATTCGACAGTACCAATTCTGCCACTGAAAATATTTGCTTTAAAACACTAAACCCCCTTTCCCCCCCCCCCCCCCCCCGCCCCCCGTGAAAGCAGCCTCCTCTTAGTTACCTCCTCTAAGTTTTAAATAGTTTCAAACTAAATTATCTGCCCCTAATAGCCGTCACCAAACCCGGCTCTATGATTGTTTTGTAAACGTTTAGCGTGAACCACAGCTCACCAGACCATGTGAGGTGGGGGGGGGGGGGGAGTGGTAGCGATAGAGAGGAAGAGGGTGTGATGGACTTACAATTTTCGAGGTGGCGCGAACACTGTTTAGAATATGCTATATATATATATATATATATATATATATATATATATATATATATATATATATATATATATATATATATATATGTATATATATATATATATATATATATATATATATATATATATACAGATTGGCCTAGCGAAGTCGGGTGTCACCCGGTGCGGCTCTTAATAGTGTCTTCTTCCCGGAGATAAACTTTCAAATTTTCGATTTGCGCCCCCCCCCCCCTCAAACTTTCGTATATATATATATATATATATATATATATATATATATATATATATATATATATATATATATATATATATATATATATATATATATATATATGTTACGGTCAAAGCCCGAAGTCTGCCAATGCTAGGATTGGCCGGCCAATCCGCGCATTGGCCAATATCGCCTCCCATAGGTCGGTCAAAGTCCGAAACTTTGCTTGATTTCGGCCTTTGGCCGGCCAATCCGCAGACTGGCCATGGTGGACCGGCCAAAGTCTGAAATAGCTCTTGATTTCGGCCTTTGGCCATGGTGGACCGGCCAAATTCTTAATTAGAAGATCATCTGGCTAGGGACAACCGGCCAAAGTTCGAATTAGAAGATCATGAGTAGATTTTGGTTTTTTTTTATGCCGTAAGGATCATGAAATTAAGTCTTTATTGATTATTAATTAAAGTAAATGACAGAAACATTCAAATTTTTTATTGTACTATAGTCTCAATCTATCAATATCATCATTAGTTACAACAAGTTGAACTTTTATGGCATTTAGAATTACATAGCAGCTTGTTATTTTTACACTTGCAGCGATTTGTTGTGCAATTAGTTGTGCAATTGCAGCGAGTGTAGCTTTGGCCCCCCAGTCAATGATTGTAAAGATGCGATGGTTCGTAGTGATTTTTCCTCAGTGCCAACTGACGACAATAAGAGCAGTTTTTCGTGAAGAATTGAAAAATCACTTTTAGCATACAGTTGTTTTAGAAAACCATGTGCCGTTCCTAATTTGTAGAAACCGCCCTCGACGCTCATGACAACTGCAATCACGCTTCGGGGATCACCGTGACCTCTGTCAACATCTGGAAAACGGATGCGTACATTGTCACCCACTTCACCATCTTTAAATTTTGTATTTGATGTTTTAAGCATCTTAGCACCTTGAGTTTGCAAGCCAGTATGAGTTGCTGACCTGTGTTCCATGATGTCTAGTTTGTTGTGACACAATCTGCAGGTAATGTTCCCTCCGTACCCTTCGTCTGCTTCATTGGGTATTCCACAAATAGCATGGACATCGTTGCCTCAGGATCCAAAAGAATGAGCTGCACTACAATGTTTTTCACAAACTAAACAGAATCTGTTGGCCACATAATTGTCACGCAACTGGTCTGGACGTTCCGCCACGGCAGTAGATGAGTTAGCTGAGGATGTCGTTGCATTTATGGCAAACTCAATTTCTTGTTCAATGTTCTCAAGATCTTCCTCAGTAACTATTTTATCGAGAGCCCATATATGGAAACTAACATGGATTTACATTTTTTTCTTTTGACAGCCATCTGCTATGTCTGTCTCATGGTCTTGCATATAGAATGCTATATAAACAAGAGGTAAACAATACGTTACTCTCAATGAAAACGCACCCAGAATAATGAAAATGCGATCACAACTTAGTCTAGATAGAACATTGGCCAGGACATCCCGGCCAGTGCGCGCATTGGCCAGCCAATGTACAAAATACGCTGTCAAGTTTAAGCGCTTCGGACTTTGGCCAGTACGTGCGGGCCAGTGCGCGCATTGGCCGGCCAATGTACAAAATACGATCTTAGTGCTAAGTTCTTCGGGCTTTGGCCAAGAGAGCCGGCCAATGCGCGGATTGGCCGGCCAATCCTAGCATTGGCCGCACTTCGGGCTTTGACCGTAACATATATATATATATATATATATATATATATATATATATATATATATATATATATATATATATGTATATATATATGTATATATATATATATATATATATATATATATATATATATATATATATATATATATATATATATATATATATATATATATATATATATATATATATATATATATATAGGACTGTATTTTGTTCAATTAACTGTAGATAAAAGGTTTTTATTTTAATTTATTTTATTTTAAAACTTGATTTTTATTTATCCAAAAGAGACCAAGTCTAGATTTAGATTTCACGCGAATTATGCGTAGTTTAGGGGGTTTAGAGTATTTGGGTCTAGCCCGTAGTGTCGAAACGAAAGTACAAAAATTTTAGTATTGTCCGTACTGTCGAAATTATTTTTTGCTATTTAAAATATTAGATGTTGATTATAGTTATAAACGTTTTTGATTTCTTCAAAATATATCACAAATACAATATGTAATTTTGTGTATTAAAAAAAAAATAATCGCAACGTAAATCGGTGTTACAAAATAATCGTACGTGTTAATACTCGATTATTATAAGGGAAAAAAATGTCTAAAACAAGAACCAAAACAAAAAATTACTGAAACAAATAAAATTTTATATTCCTTCGTTTTTGAATTTACAAAAACTGAAATCGTCATTTAAAAACTCAGTTAATGGCATTTTACAAGCTTTTATTTAACTTAATTCCTCGTGCTATTTCTCTCATGTCTGAGTCAGAGTTTCTTTCAGGCATCTCTTCTGGGGGGGGGGGGGGGGGGGGGTAATGGATTTTATATAAAAAAAAACATTCTTTTAACAGTGTCCGCTTCCCCCCCCCCCCCCCCCGGTGAAAAAAAGTCAAATTCAAATTTATTCAAATTTATTCAAACAACGGTTACAATTGTAGGCACAAAGGCCTTTTTTCACATTGGCCGTTTAAACAAATAAAACAATTCAATAACACATAGAAACACTGGCCTGGGTGGAAAATTTACTAACAAAAAACAAAATTATACCCGAACCGATGGGGTTAAACTTGAATGTCACTTAGGTTAGATCTGATAATGCAATGTGCCACGAACTTTGACATAATTAGAGGTGTTTCGTTCCTTTTTAAAATTAATTAAATATTTCTATGGCCTATAGTGCACACTAACTTATAATTTAAGGCCGATCTATATATATATAATAAATATAAGCCTTTTTAAAAAAAAGAAAAACGTAAATAGTAACAAAATATATGCGTGCACTATAAAGATGTCCACCCAACTCTGATGGGTACCTAACTCACGTTAGGGAAAGTAAAGGCGGCTGGGCATAGTGCTGACCACACTATCTCTTCATATGCCGAGGTCACAGAAACAAGATAACTCTACTCAGTGGCGTAGCGAGGTCGGGTGTCACCCGGTGCGGCACTTAATGGTGTCACCCAACCAGAGGCGTTGAGACCCTTCCCGGGGACAAACTTTCAAGTTTTCGATTTGCACCCCCCCCTCCCCCCCTCAAACTTTTGATGTGCACCCCCCCTCAAGTTTTTCTCTATATATTTTTCTATTTTTTGCCTTGGTGTTACCCCCCCTAAATGGTCTCACCCGGTGCGGTCCACACCCCCGCCCCCCCCCTCGCTACGCCCCTGACTCTACTTCACTTGCCCCATAGACCGTCAGAAATGAAAGGGAAACTTTACTTTACTTACTAAAAAGATGTAGATCTAGAATCTAGAACTAAAACATAATGACAAAAAATTATTAGCTTTAAACATAATATTGCACCATATTTACATAACTGTTCGTGACTATATATA